CATTATGTTTTTAAATGTTCTTTTAACTACTGTTTTCACTGTTTATTTTGTTTTACTTGTTTGCCTTTATTAACTTGTCGTTTACTATGTATATATTGTTTTATTGTGTTTTACTCATGTTGTGAGCCGCCCTGAGTCCTTTCAGGTAGATGGGGCAGGATAGAAATAATAATTGCAATCCCAGGCGACAGTAGGATTGAAGAGAAGCAACTGGAAAAGCTGACATGATACGAGGATTGAAAGATTGAACTGCAGAGACTTTGGCACAAGCCAGTCAAGGGGGTCCCAGTGGTGATCGGCACACTGGGTGCAGTGCCTAAAGACCTTGGCCTGCACTTAAACACAATCGGTGTTTGTGTTTGTGTGCAAAAGGCTGCCCTACTTGGATCTGCATTCATTATTCACTGATACATCACACAGTCCTAGACCCTTGAGAAGTGTCCGACGTGTGATCCAATACAACAGCCAGCAGAGTAACCTTGTTAGCTGTGTTCTCAATTTGTTGTGTTTCAAATAATAATAACAATAATAATTATTATTATTACTAGGACGGTGTTGTGACTCAGCTGGAATCTCAAAGTGATAGTGTCAATGATTCTGATGAGGATGATGGGATTCAGATTTGCAGTCAGGTGCAAAACGAAGTCCCTGTGATAGACGAGGAAGAACAGGGTACAGAAGTTCAGTTGTTCCCTCACAGCAAGGGATGACTCTGCTGTTGATAATGAAACTACTGAGAGCCAGGTGCATTCTGATTCAGGAAGGGAGGACAGTTGTTCTCGGCCAGATAATGAGCAAGAAAGCACTAACGAACAGATTGACCTTGATGAGGCTGGAGCTTTAGATCGAACTGATCGCTTGGAATTTAAGCTTCGAAGGAGTGTGAGAATTGCTAGCAAGCGAGAGAGGGAGGCCAAGGGCCAGAGAAACGCCTTCATGTTTTCCAAAGGGTATTAAACAGGCTGTTTGAAAATACGAACAGATTGACCTTGATGAGGCCGGAGCTTTAGATCGAGCTGATGGCTTGGAATTTAAGGTTCGAAGGAGTGTGAGAATTGCTAACAAGAGAGAGAGGGAGGCCAGGAGCCAGAGGAACGCCTTCATGTTTTCCAAAGATTTGAAGGAGTGTGAGAATCGCTAACAAAAGAGAGAGGGAGGCCAGGAGCCAGAGGAACGCCTTCATGTTTTCCAAAGATTTGAAGGAGTGTGAGAATTGCTAACAAGAGAGAGAGGGAGGCCAGGAGCCAGAGGAACGCCTTCATGTTTTCCAAAGATTTGAAGGAGTGTGAGAATCGCTAACAAAAGAGAGAGGGAGGCCAAGGGCCATAGGAACGCCTTCATGTTTTACAAAGGGTATTACACAAGCTGTTTGAAAACACTCCAGTGTCAGAGCAACTTCTCGCTTCAGCCAAGAGACTTAGGATTTATCTTGCAGTTTTCATGTTCATGGTTTCAGGACTTTGTCATGTTCTCATGGGACTTTGCCTTGTCTTCGTGGATCCTGTTTTCCCAGTGCTACCTGGTATTGATCTTTGGAACTATACTTTTGCCTTTTTGAACTTTTATCTTTTACTTTAATGAACCATAAAGACTATTGCTTGTGTGCTGTTTGGTGTCTAAAGCAAGGTGATTCTACTCTGAGGTGCAACAGACGTTCCATCTGCATCAACGGGCAGAAGTGGGCAGGGACAGGCAACACAAAATGGCGTCCGGATCACAAAATGGAGGCCCCACCGGGCTTGCTCCCCTCAGTCTTCCAAGGGTCAGAGTTACTGTTTCTGTGTCTCTTTCCTCCCTCTTTCCTCAGCCAGGTGTCAACTATGATCAATACAACTCTATGGGACCGACCATGGGCAAAATCATGTAGAACACATTCTGCTTTTCAGTCTGAAACTTAAATAAAGTCCATCCTTTAGCAACCACACCTGACTATTATCAAGCAAAAAGAAAGAAAGAAAAACCCATTGACAAAACTCATTTGGAAAAATAAAAAAATGTTCAAGATTCAAGAGAGAGAGGTGGAGTGGCATGACCAAATTTGGGGCTACATTACGACGCAGCAGCTTGGATATGGATAAAAGAATTGATTTCTTTTAGAAATGAAAATAGGTGTACTTAAAATAATGAATTAGAGCAGTACAAGAAAGGAGATTCCACCTGAACACGACCCCCCACCCCTATAAGAGATAGTAACTTATAGTTTTGCTAAGGGCAAGGACACCTGGATAATAAGGGTTAAGCCTTGGTCAGTTTGGTGTGTATCATTTAATCAAGGCTTTATGCCCTATTTTCATATGTTTACAGCAGAAAGTAACCAATTTATTACTGAAAATCATGCCACAAAAGTATTTGAATTTTCCCATCTGAGGCACACCTGGGCTCCTGATGGTCCCCCATCTCACAAACAAGGGACTCTCTTTCCCCCTCATGGATATATTTCCCTTTATGGACCTTCCTATGAATAATATGAACTATGGACACTGGGGGAGGGTAGTTGGGTTTACTCTCTGTATTATGATTTCTATATTTTCATATTTTCTCCTGTATTTCTATATTTCCCTTCATGTATCTGACCTTGCCCTGACCCTTTTGCCCCCTTCCCTTCTCCTTGAGGAAAATGTATAAGGAAGTTGCCCTGCCTTTGCAAAAAGCAATTAGCGATTTTTAAGACCCTTATCTCAGAACATTTCTTGCATGGAAAATTAACAAAGAATTATTTTCTTGACTTCGGAGTTGGGCCATCAAGAAGATAATCATTTGGCAGACTTTTTAATCACATTACAATGGGGGGAAACTAGGACCTTCGGGAAGTCCTCTTCCCCAACCCATTTTCTTTCAAGCCTTTCCATTAAAGACATTCACCCAAAATCTCCCCCATTGTGCCCCCCCTGCAAGAGGAAAACCCGGATTAAGTAGTCAATGCTTATCTCAGATCAACCACGACACAATAGACAGGTTTCGCTTGAAGGCCATTTAGGACTCGCTGAGCCACATGGACATTTCCTGAGTTCCATAATCCATTCAAGAATGCATTGTATTCCCTTGTCCCACCTCCCTCCCTCCTGATTCGTCGACGCGCCAAGGCGGCAGAAGCCTTGTGATTGGCCCAGGCGCTCGAGGGGCAGAGAAGCCCCCTCCCAGTCAATCACCTTCAAGCCAGGCCGGGGGGGGGGGGAGAGATTCAAACCCCACACTGTTTTTTCTATAAAAAATGGCATTTATTTGTGTACATGTATGCTTAGCTTGGCAAATGATTGCTGCTTTGTATCCTTTTCAGCTGAATCGCTAATAAAACATCTCCGTGGCACTGTTTTCAACTTTAGTGAGATTCTTTTTGGGAACTTAGGGAAAATAAAGTGCTTAAAATTAGGCTTCTCTTTGCTCACCAACGTAGTGACTCCTCTTTGGTGGGGCTGCATGGTCTCTCCTCCTGGGGTAGATCCTTCTAAAGTTCCTATCGATTTCAACTGCAGGTGTGCATTGGTCCAAACTTGGCCTGTAGAGTCTCCAGACCTACGGAGATAAGACAACCTACAATGAATTCCTCCTCTGTGAAAGAAGGTGCAAGAAAGATGCCCCCGGAACAGGTTAACAAAGTTTCTTTCTTTCTTTCTTTCTTTCTTTCTTTCGGATAGGGCCCTTGGGAGGGGTCTTCAACTGGGACCACCAACGGTTCTTCCCAAGGGCAGAATGACTGGACTCATGGGCTTGGGGCTGGGTGGAAAAGACCCCTTTGGAGGAAGTAGGCCCTGACTGGGAGAACTGGTATTTTCAGCTCCACGGAAGGCAGTCGTTGCTAAGGATTCCGTTTGTGGTTGCCTTACCTAAACATCAAGGATGGGAAGAGTCTCTTTCAGTGAAGGGTCTTCACTGTATGGACTGCAAATCCCATCCTCGGCCTGAGAGTTCTGCCAATGTGTAATGCAGATGGGGAAGACCTATGGGGAAGAGCATCCCCTTGCCAAGTGACATCTCCTTTCCCGTATGCAATCTAGCTCATCAGGAATCCAGATGAACTCTGGTCTTTTCCCTCGTGTACTCCTCTTCAAAAGGAAATGGGAAAAGGGCCAAACATGTCCCGCTCTCGTTTGCCTTCTGGAGCAATCCGTCCACTCTTTGGGAGGCACCAACGTTCCCCTCCAGTTTGGATAAACTGTTTCCTGAGTGGCATCTATTTTCTGTTGCAGGTGACCTTGAACTTCAAAGATGTGGCCATCTACTTCACAGAGGAGGAATGGAGGTTGCTGGGCAAGAAGCAGAGGGCCTTGTATGAGGAGGTCATGATGGAGACCTATGAAAATGTGGCCTTCCTGCGTAAGGACCTCCAAAACATTCCCTTTCCTCAGGAGAGTCAGGGCCCTTTCAATTCCTCAACCTTGAATGTCCTCTTCAGCTCAGGTCCTTGTTTTCCAGGAACATCAAGGGGTTCCCCTTAGCAACAGTGAGCAATTCCCAACCAGTCCTTCTCTGGGTCTGGAAGGTGCCTCTGGGAAGGCCCACAAGAGTCCAGAAAGCGAAGCCTTCCCAGGCAGCCCTGGGCTCTCAGGTCCACTCGTGTGTCCTTCAGAGTAATCACAACCCGTTAACACTGGTCTTGTGGTTTTGTCTAAATGCATGCCCATGTTTGTGGATGGGTATACTCTGGTAGAGAGGCAGAAATGGGACCCTGAGAGGAGAGTGTCCCCGCTTGTCATCCCAAGAGCAAGGTCACACCTGGCCCAAGGCTATCAGCCCAGTTGCCCTCTTCTCACCCCCTCAACCGACCACCACCTCATTGGCCTGCAGACCCATCCTTCCCATTTCCAGTTTTGACTAGCCTATTGGGTGGCCTGATTCTTCTGCAGCTTTGCTGTAGTCTCTCACCCCTCCGTCCTCTGCACGCCTGACTACTCTCCACTTCTTCCTCCATTCTCGTGTCCCCATCAGCCCTACAAAAGGTTCTTCCTCCCTGAATGTTTGGATTCACACTTGTCTATCCTTGTCTTTCTTTATAGGAGATAACTGGTGGGCCACAAAAGCCAGCATGAAGGATAGCCGTCATCTTAGGCACAAGCTGCATCTTGCCCAACATCTTCAAACCCACAAGTGTCAGCACTGTGGGAAATGCTTTTCTCGGAAGGGACACTTTGAGCATCACTTGAGAATCCATACAGGAGAGAAACCCTATGAATGCCAGCACTGTGGGAAATGCTTTGTTCAGAAGGGATACTTAGAGCGTCACTTTAGAGTCCACACAGGAGAGAAACCCTATGAATGCCAGCACTGTGGGAAATGTTTTTTTCAGAAGGGACACTTTGAGCGTCACTTGAGAGTCCATAAAGGAAAGAAACCCTACAAATGCCAGCACTGTGGGAAATGCTTTGTTCAGAAGGGATACTTTGAGCGTCACTTGAGAGTCCATACAGGAGAGAAACCCTACAAATGCTGGCACTGTGGGAAATGCTTTGCTCAAAAGCCATACCTTAAGAATCACCTTAGAGTCCATACAGGAGAGAAACCCTTCAAATGCCAGCACTGTGGGAAATGCTTTGCTCAGAAGCCAGGCCTGAATCAGCACCTCAGAGTCCATACAGGAGAGAAACCCTTCAAATGCCAGCACTGTGGGAAAAGCTTCGCTTGGAAACCACACCTTGAAATTCATCTGAGATACCATACAGGAGAGAAACCCTTCCAATGCCAGCTCTGTGGGAAAAGCTTTGCTGGGAAGCTAGGCCTGAAGCGTCACCTGAGAGTCCATACAGGAGAGAAACCCAACAAATGCCAGCACTGTGGGAAGGGCTTTGCTGGGAAGGCAGACGTGAAGCGTCACCTGAGAGTCCATACAGGAGAGAAACCCTACAAATGCCAGCAGTGTGGGAAATGTTTTGCTTGGAAGCCAGACCTGAAGTGTCACCTGAGAGTCCATACAAGAGAGAAACCTTTCCAGTGTCAGCACTGTGGAAAATGCTTTGCTGGAAAGCCAGACCTTGAGATTCATATAAGAAACCACACGAGAGAGAAACCCTATGAATGCCAGCACTGTGGGAAATGCTTCACTCGGGTGGCAAACCTTGAGAATCACCTGGGAGTCCATACAGGAGAGAAACCCTATGAATGCCAACACTGTGGGAAATGCTTTGCTCAGAAGGCGGACCTTGAGCGTCACCTGAGAGTCCATACAGGAGATAAACCCTACAAATGCCAACCCTGTGCGAAAAGCTTTGCTCACAAGGCAGATTTTGCGCGTCACTTGAGAGTCCATACAGGAGAGAAACCCTACGAATGCCAACACTGTGGAAAATGCTTTGGTCGGAAGGCACACCTTGAGTGTCACCTGAGAGTCCATACGGGAGAGAAACCCTACAAATGCCAGAACTGTGGAAAATGCTTTCCTCAGAAGGCACACCTTCAACGTCACCTGAGAGTCCGTACAGGAGAGAAACCCTCCAAATGCCAGGACTGTGGGAAAGGCTTTGCTCAGATGGCATACCTTGATGACCCCCAGGTGATTTTCAAGGTGTGCCATCCGAGCAAAGCATTTCCCACACAGGTGAGAAATCCTAAAGGGGCCAGCAGTGCTTTGTTCATGGTTCATATTTAGGAAGCATCGGGATGTTCTCACTGAAGAGGAACTATGTAATAGTTATTTTAATAGAGAAACTATGTTTTATTTAGTTCAATAATTTTTATTAGTTTTAAGTAAATAATATTATATTGTACCTCAGGTTTGTTTCATCATAATGTTATAATTATTTTTGGTGCTGTTTTTGCTGCAAGGCACATGTTTTTAGAGTGTTTTGCACACATGTTTTCATTCAATAAAACTCAGAATTATTTGAAGCCTTTTGTGTTCTTTGCTGCCCATCCAACACCTCTGAAATGAGATTGAACTGGAGATAGAAGGCGGATAGAGTTTTCAGATCCACAAATAGGAGAGTTGGCTACGGAAAAGTGACAAAAGATGTGATTATTTATGTTGTGAAAAAAAGTTTTAGAGATGAGATTTTGCAGAAATATAAAAAAATCAAATTGACATATCACGGAATACAGATGATAATAAAGAAAGACATCCCATGTTGTAGTAAGACCTGCTACTACTGGTGCAAATGGTGGGTTGGAGGCTAGAGGAGAGAAACGGGTTACTGAAGAGTCAGACTCTGATGAGGAGTGTCAAAGGAAAAGGATCCGGGATATACTTATGGCCCCCACGGATGAAGAGTCCTTTGTGGGTTTTTCTGGGTCACAGAGTGATGGGAATGGGGATGAGGCTTTGGATTGGACTAAAGTTCGAGAGGTGCAAGCGGTTTGTGGGGAACCAACATCCAGTGATGCATTCATGGGTTTCTCGGGTGGCGAGGAGTGGCAATCGGGGAACACTACAGAAACATGGGGAGACTTAAGTCTTGACAGGAGGTGGAGTGGTTGGAGAGATGGTAACAGGAGTTCACGTGTGGTTCATGGGACACCTGCACGGGATAATGACGGGGTGTTGGCTAGCTCTTCATCGGAGGATGAGGATGTGTAATATAAGCAAGGTCAAAAATGGGGAGCCTTTGCAGAAGGCAAGGTGTTACTTTGGGTATCGTATGCTCTTGTCACTGCCTGTTCGTGTTTGGGATTTTGGATCCTGGATCTGCAGCTTGGCGTTCCGTTTACTTCGTTAGGACTGACTTCTCGTGAGTGTGGAATTCTCCTCTCCTGAACCTTGGACTATTTGATGACGACGCTGCCCGCTGGATTTGGATTCGATGCTACTCCGGTTTGCCTCTATCCAGGGCCGGTTTATCAATTACTCGAAGTAAGCAGCTGCTGTACACTTTTTTTTTGGCCAGGGGCGCCGCGCAGAGCCGCCTCTGTAAATGCCCCTCTCTCTGCCTCCCTCTCCTTCTTGAAGGCGACACGGAGACGGGGCACTCCGCCGCCTCCCTTCTGGTTCCGCGCATGCGCCCCACAGTTGGATGGGAAAGGCGGGCTTCTCTGCTTCCCTCCACTCAGTGGGTGCGCACGTGAGGAGACGAGGGGAGCTGCTCTTTCTCTCTCCTGCGCCTTCCCCGCGCTGCCTCAGGACGATGAAGCCGAGCTCCCTCTGAAGGTGGTGCTGCTGCCTCCTCCAGGCATCAGGTGCCTTCCTGCTGTGCTCCCAAAGAGTGACTTGGAGGAAAGCAGCCCACCCGGGCCGTCTCAGTGGGTTAGTCACTCGCCGCTTGGGGGGGGGGCTCATCAGCCCAAGAGGGATGCGCCACCTCCAAAGGTTTCCATTGTGGACCCCAGAGAGGAGACAGCAGGCAGGTGCCCTGGGGAAGGAGGGAAAGAGGGGCGCTCTGTTCATGCTTTGCCTTTGAGTGCTTCTACACCAGGCATGGGCCAACTTCAGGCCCCACTTCCATATAAAACCCCCGGAGGGCCCAAGTTGGCCCATGCCTGAACTACACTATGGAATGAATGCAGTGCCACACTTTCAACTGCCCTGACTCAGTGCTGTGCTATCCTGGGAGCTGTAGTTTGCTGGGCTTTGGCAGAGAAGGCATTGTGGGGGTCCTTCCACACAGCTGAATAAAATCCCACATTTTCCGCTTTGAACTGGAATATATGGCAGTGTGGACTTGATGGCGTGAGCCCCCGCCATGAAATTGGTCTGCACTGCGGCAGGGAGTTCCGCAGTTCCCAGTGGTCACCAAGGGAGAAAACGGATGGAATGTGCCCCAGCCAGCAGCTCAAAGCAAAGGACTGCATGAAGTTTTTCTTTCACTTTCCCCTCTCCCTTTTCTTTGTAACAAAATCCCCCAATAAAACACTTAAAATTGAAACTTTAAATCTTTTCCGCTTGTTACTTTGTGTCCCCTTTACTGCCTGAAACTTTGCTAACACAAAATAACCCTTTTTCTGAGCTCTGGGGAACCGTGAGCTCACTGGGGATGCCCTCCCGGCATCCCCAGGCCCCTGGATTTGCGTTAGCTAAAATCGTGGATACGGAGGTTTTCCTAATGGCCCCCTTTATCCGCCAAAACAACAACATGGCGGATCGGGCCCGTTCAAATTTTATATTTTTCTACATTAACTTCTAAGATTAACTGCTATCTTGGTTTTCTCATTTTTGACTCCTGCACTCGTGAAATAATTGTTTTTGTTTACTCATTAAATTTGGCCGAGTCACCAGCTGATTGTCAATTTTCGCCGGCTTTTGCTGCTTGGTTCTTTCCGCGTGCGGTCGCTCGCTCCAGCATGGCTCCAGCCGCCTGGGATCCACCGCCGCTGCCCAAGGGGAAGCCTTGGAAGTGGGGGATCGGGCAGGGAGGCCCGATCCCCGGTTGGGAGCGCTAGTTCCACCAAGGACGGGACAGTAGAACGCAGCTCCCCCTTCAGCTCCAGCTCCTGTTCAGCAAAACGAACTGATCTCCTGATGGCCAGCCTAAACCATAGGCTGGCCCCTGCCTCCAAACCCCTCCGTTCAGACCTTTGGGACTTCTAGCCCACTTCTTCTTTATGAAATGAATAAAATATTTTCTTAATGTAATAAAACTGGGATCGGGATGGGTGGTGGGTTGCGATGCATGAATTGCCTGTATACTGATGGTGCCTGTATTTTTTAGATAGATATGAAATATGTGTCCCTCAATCAACTTCCCTGTGTCTTCGCCCCCCTGACCTCTTACCCCATAAAAGCCAGCCTAATCAGGAACTGCCTGAGGGAAAGAGCCCAAGCCTCTTTCCCCCAAATCACCCATTGATTGACTCATTTTGCATGGACAATACTGCTGACCCCCCCAATCTCGTCTTCGGAGCAGGGCCAACGAAGGAGGGATGGGTCAGCAGAGCCTCGGGATAAAAGACTGATTGACTCAACCAGAAGTTGTTGATCCTCCGGGCGGTCTGACTTCGATCCAGCTATTCCTATCCCTTGCCAGACTCATTAAGAACAGGAAAGCCTTTGTTTGACAAACATCACCCTCTTCCCGCCTTGGACAATGGCCCGCATTCCAGCAGGCAGGAAATCCCAAATCCCATCATCTTTCCCCCATTGTCCGCGGCTGTCCCGCCTCCTCGCTCCTGATTGGCCAGAACCCAGGAAGCGAGCAGAGGGCGCCCACTGGCCCTCCCGAGGCAGAAAAACGCTCCCATTGGCTCCTGTCGGGGGAGGGCGGGATTACCTCCTCCCAGCTGTTCCAGCCTCAGCCAATCAGCGTGAAGCCGGCTGACAGGGGGGCGGGCGGGATTTTCAAACTGCTTTTCCTTTGTTTCACACTGTATAAAAATGCCTGGAAATTCTTGTACAGTATGCTTGCAGTGGAATGATTCCTGTAATGCATCCTTTTCAGCTGAATCGCAAATAAACCTCGATCGCTGGACTTCTTCCGCCTCTGGTGACCTTATTATATTCTGCGCTCTTGGATTGGCTTCTAGCAATCTCACCAAGGTATCCAGGACCCTCTTTGGTGCGGTCCTTGGGCTCTCCTCCCTGGAGAGACCCCCTAAAAGAGCTCGATATCACCTCTATTAATGCAGGCCAAAATCCCATTGGCTTTTTTTGCCACTGTATCATATTCGGGTTCTAGGCTGTGTGGAAGGCCCAAACTGTCACTGATTAATTTTGACCATTTCAACACATTATCCAAAACATCACAGCAATGCAATACTGTTAATTTCACAGTGACCTATTATGTATCCTCTTTGGCCTGGATTATATGGCAGTGTAGAAGGAGGTTTGGGGCTCTTCTGCACAACTGTATAATCCATAATATCAAGGCACATAATCCATATTATCTGCTTTGAACTGGATTATTACAGGGCCCTACCAGGCAGACCTTATATCCCAGGATCTGATCCCAGGTTTTCAGTTTATCCCAGATGATCTGGCAGTGCAGACTCATATAATCCAGTTTAAAGCAGAAAATCTGGGATCAGATCCTAGGATATAGGACCTGTCAGGGACCTTCCACACAAACATATAACCCAGAATATCAAGGTAGAAAATCCCACAATATCTGCTTTGAACTGGGTTATCTGAGTCCACAATCAGATAATGTGGGTTTTTCTGCATTCATATTCTGAGATATAGGGCTATGTGGAAGGGCCCTGAGTCTACACTGCCATATAATTCAGTTCAAAGCAGAGAATCTGGATACAGCTGTGTAGAAGAGGTTTTGGATCGACACTGCCCTATAACCCAGGATCTGAACCCAGATTATGTTCTTGTGGGTTTTTTCGGGCTATAGGGCCATGTTCTAGAGGCATTTCTCCTGACGTTTCGCCTGCATCTATGGCAAGCATCCTCAGAGGTAGTGAGGTCAATTCAACTTAGAGGTGGGTGAAAGGTCAGGAGAGAATGCTTCCAGAACATGGCCATACAGCCCAGAAAACTCAAAGCAACCTAGTGATTCCGGCTATGATAACCCAGGATCTGAACCCAGATTATTTTCTTATCCCAGATTAATAAATAAAGATTATTATTATTATCTGGCAGTGTTTAACCCAGTTTAAAGCAAATAATCTCAGTTCAGATCCTGGGATATAAGGCAGTGAAGAAAGGGTTTTCAGCCCCATCTACGCTGCCATATAAAATACGGATTCTCTGCTTTGAACTGGATTATATGGCAGTGTGAACTCAGATAACCCAGTTCAAAGAAGA